AATAAATATAGGTATTTCGGGAAAGTACCCTGTTTCCTCACTTAGCAACCAAAACTTCAATATAGCCAGCCCATGTTAAATGATAAGAACTAATAAATCACAAAGAGAGTGAAAAAAATTAAAAAGAAAATGAAAAGGGGCTGTTCACCTAAAAGGTTATACACCACTACCACTGTGTGGCTTAGAACTAAAATTTTAAAAATAAATAAATAAATAAATACGTATATAACGAAGTAACACATTTCGCAATAGGTGCTCAATCATAGTGTATAGTTAGTACTTAAAAACAACAAAGTAAGGAGATAGTATGCAGTGAACATCAGTATTAAAGGGACGCTATACTCTCCAGAACAACTACAGCTTATTGAATTTGTTATGGTGAGTAGAATCATTACCTTCAGGCTTTTTGCTGTAAACACTGTCTTTTCAGAGAAAATAGAGTGTTTGCATTACAGCCTAGTGATAACTTCACTGTCCACTCCTCAGATGGCTGTTAGAGATCCTTCCTTGGTTATGGTTGCCTAAAATGCATCCAAACATTCAGTATCTCCTCCCTCTGCATGCAGACACTGAATTTTCCTCATAGAGATTCATTGATTCAATTAATCTCTATGAGGAGATGCTGATTGGCCAGGACTGTGTTTGAATTGTGCTGGCCCCTGCTATGCCTCCTTGTCAGTCTCGGCCAATCCTATGGGGAAGCATTGTGATTGGATCAGCCACTACTTCTGATGATGTCAGAGGACGTTCACAGGCAGAGGCAGCAGGTTCAGACTTGAATACAAGTAAGATTTTACTATCTTTAGGGAGGCAAAGGGGGCGAATGGGGGCTAGATAGTGGTTTTATCACTATAATACATGTTTATGTTCCTGACCCTATAGTGCTGCTTTAACTAATTCCAAAATATAGAAATATAGAAATCATGGGCAGGAATGGTCTCACAGACTAATAACCTGAAACAAAGTATCAACTCTTTTCATTCAACTAGATACCTATAGTAAACATGTAGCTATTTATATCAATGGTAAGAAACAGTGTAACGTATTACGTTTATTTATCCATCTTTTTTTCCATTTATTTTGATATCTTTTACCCTGTAATGGCCTTGGGATTTGTGATCCCCTGTCTCTGGGGGTCGGGGTGTTGTGTTGTTGTTCAGGGTGACGTTGTTATGTTATGAGCTTAGCTGTCTATGGTACGTAGGGAAGGGGGAGGACACGAGGCGTGAGGGGTGGTTAGAAGTACTGATGGGGAAAGGGGGTAGTGGTGTTGGTGTTGGTACCAGACAGGGGACTTCTGGTGGGTTCTATTGCCTTGACTTCTGTGTTTTTGGGTTGTTCTGGTGTGTCTTGTTGGGAAGCTGGAGTGGGTGTGCTTTTCTATTCTCGGGCGTTGAATGTACTAGTTTCTGGAGGACCCTTCTCTTTTGGACCTATCAAGACCTACATTGGTTTTGTGTGGGTTTATTATATGTAGTTCCGCCACATTTTGGCGGTGTGGGGGCTCCTTTTCCCAATTTTCGTCTGGTTCCACATGATGAGTTCGTACTCCATTGTAGATGTCACTTCGTTTTCAAGTTCTCGGGTAGAGGGCAAGTCCATTGTCTTCCATTTCCTAGCTATTAATATAGACACTGTGCTTAAGATAAGGTATATCGTTTTCTGGATTGGCTTTGAAGCGTTATCTGGTAACGATCGGAGTAGTATTGTTTTAGGGTCAAGAGCGAGTTGAAAATCTGTTACTTTTTCAATTAGTTTGGCTGTATCTTTCCATAGGTTTTTTACTCTGTCACATGTCCACCACATATGCAGCATGGTGCCTTTGGTGGTGTGACATCACCAGCATATATCCGTCGAGGTAGGTAATATGGTGTGTAGTCGGGTCGGTACCATGTACCACCTGTATAGTATTTTCCTTGATGCTTCGAAGTGTGCGGTGCTTGTTGTCAGCCCCTCATGGGAGGTAAAGATCTTTTCCTATTCGTTCAGGGAGATGGTAACGTGAAGATCAGTCTGCCAGTTGTGCATAAACTTCCAAGTGGCATTGACGTCGGGATTAGCAAGGTAGTTGTAACAGATAGAGACTTTTTTTCGGGGGGATAAGCGATAGGCATTGTGCTTCAAATATGTTTGCAGTGAGTGTTTTATATTTTTGATCCTGTTGACGTTTATTAGCGCTTTACTTTGTAAGTATGCGAATGTGTAGTTTGAGGGTAGGGCAAATTCTTTTTGTAGGTCTGCGAATGATTTGAGACCTTCCTTGGTACGTAGCTGATATATATGTGTGATTCCTGCTTTCTCCCATTTTTGATGCGGGAACGTGCCATTGCACTGGTGTAGGGTTCTAACCGGAGTTGCCAAGGCCCACGGGTGTGCTGAGCACAGTTGGTCTCTGTAGATGTCCCATGTTTTAAGGTGGTGTTTGGAGGTGTTCATCATGGTTGCAGGTTTTTGTCTTAGGTGTTAGGGTGTCCAAAGCATTGTTGACAGATCCTGATTTCTGCAGTAGTTGCTCTCTATTGCTACCCACTGGGGGGTGTAGGTGGTCAGGTGGGCGCTAATCTATTTGTGAGGATGGCGGAGTGGTAGTACGCTTTGATGTTAGGGAAGCCCATGCCTCCAGATTTCATATTTCTCAGTAGTAACGTTTTGGGGACTCAAGGGTGTTTGCCGCCCCAGCTAAAATGGAGGAGGGTTGCTTGTAGTTTTGTGGAATTTTGCTTTGTAGTGTACGGAAGAGATAGAGAATTTTAGAGAGGATTGTCATTTTCAGCGCCGCCATTTTAAATACCCAGGACAGGAACAGGCTCTTCCATGCTTGTAGTTGGGTGTCTATGTCTTTCAACAATTTAGTGTAATTGGCGGGGAATAGCTCATTTTCTTTGTGGGTTATTTTGACGCCTAAGTACACCAGGTAGACCTCTCTCCAATCGAAGTTGTGTCTTGCCTTCAGTTTTACTTCTATGGGTTTTGGTATGTTGAGGCACATTGCTTGTGTTTTGGTGATGTTGAGTTTGTAGTATGACTACATGTTGCATTTTTGCTGATTATTTCTTACACTTGATATGTATCACTGTCATAAAATCCTCCAAATGATGCTCTATTACATCTTCGGAGTAAAACAATATGCCCAATGTATGACCTAGACACTATTTTGTGAAGTTACAGTGTTGTAAAAGAGACGTGACAAGTTCAGGTTTTTAAGTGCGAATGGAGGGTTTGATGCGTCCGTGTCCCACTTTGGAGCAATCGAGCAGGCTACATATTCCAACTACACCATAAAGGCATACCATTTCTTAAAGAAGACATCCCAAGGTATTTCAAGTGTAGTGGTAATAAGCATTTTTCTGCCATTTTTTGACATACAAAGTGAGTTTGCACAGTATATTTTGCAAACCATATGTGTGCTACAACTGTATAATACTTCATATGTTGCTCAGCTATGTCATCTGAGTACAGCAATACCACAGTATGTACCTTTGCCAGGTATATGTGGACATTGAGGGGGCACATTTGAGACACAGCCATTTCAGTTTTTTTCAAACTTTACATAGTTACATAGCTGAAAAGAGACTTGCGTCCATCAAGTTCAGCATTCCTCACATATGTTTTTGCTGTTGATCCAAAAGAAGGCAAAAAACCTAGTTTCTAGCACTTCCAATTTTGCAACAAACTAGGAAAAAATTCCTTCTTGACCCCAAAATAGCAGTCAGATGTGTCCCTTGGATCAAGCAGCTATTACCCCACTAATAAGAAATTATATCCCTGTATGTTATGTTTTTTCAAGTATTTATCCAATTTCAGTTTAAACATCTGTATGGATTCTGATAAAACCACCTCTTCAGGCAGAGAATTCCATATCCTTATTACTCTTACTGTAAAAAAACAAACAAACATCCTTTTCTTTGCCTTAGATGAAATCTCCTTTCTTCCAGCCTAAATGTGTGACCTTGTGTCCTATGTATAGCCCTGTTTATGAATAGATTTCCAGATAATGGTTTGTACTGGCCCCGAATATATTTATATAATGTTATCATATCCCCTCTGAGGCGCCGTTTTTCCAAACTAAACAGATTAACATTTTAAAACCTTTCTTCGAAACTAAAATGCTCCATTCCTTTTATCAATTTTGTAGCTTGTCTCTGCACTTTTTTAGTGCCATGATATCCTTCTTTAGAACAGGTGTCCAAAATTGCACAGCATATTCAAGGTGTGGTCTTACCAGCGATTTATAAAGAGGCAAAATTATATTTTCATCTCGAGAATTTATGCCCCTATTTATACATGACAAAACCTTACTGGCTTTAGCAACTTGTGGGAATATTTATGGGATGATAATCTTATACAGTTGAGAATTGACCACTATTTCAATTCTCTTAGATCTTAGAGTTCGTTATCATGTAAGTGAAATGTATTCCATACAAATAAAATCATAATTTGTTATAAAAATAGATATAATTTATTGTGACAAATAAAATAATAATAATATTAGGCAGCATGCATGATAATAATCAGTGAATATTTAGTATAACGTCGTATACAATGGCAATGGCTAAACACAGTACAAAGCTACAGCATCAACTGTCAAGACTTACAAGATTTATGAGGGTACTTCACAGACACAGAAAGCAAAACTTCACACAGCACAGTGAAAAGCCATAAAACCTTGGCTCGCAGTCATATCAACTGAGTAACCCTTTCAATGCTGGCTAGATCCTCGTAGGCATATAATATCCTATTCTCATGTAATTTTCAATTAAAATAACATTCAAACCAGCTCATTAATCATATCCTGGAACCATCCAAAAGAGTCAAATCTACAGATTCTATAAGTCGAATTTTAATTTGCCTAAAAAGATATCTTACCTTATTTCAGAGCAAATCATGGATAAAAACAGTGGTATGCTAACACGTGGTAAGATACCAGTACTATGTAATTATCTGACTCCACCTGCAGAATGGAGTGTTATAACTACTAATTAAGATTCCTCAATTATGGGATCTGATCGTGATTTATCCATGCATGTATCCTGCTATTAATAGATTTTAATTAATTTAGATTAATTAAATAAAACCAGCATAATTACCAGTTATGATGTAGATGTTCTCATCAGATGAGTAGGTAGTCCCAGGAACTTGAACGCGAGTATGATTGGTTGTATGGAGGTGTGTAAGTAATAGTGAAAAGTGATGTTGGTTAGAAAGTAGTGATGTTGTGAACCGTTCGCGAACTTGCCGCGAACGGTTTGCCACGGTTCGCCACGAACCTTCAACAAGGATGCTGTCCAGGAAGTAGGAGGGTCTGGGAGGGAGGGTCTGCCGGAGATTGGCAGGGATGTGTCAGCTGACCGGAGTTTGCCGCAAAAGGTTCGTGGCGAACGGTTCGCGGCACGTTCGCGAACGGTTCGCGACATCACTATTAGAAAGTAATAGTAAAATTCTAAGTGTCAAGGAGTGTTTCTTGAGTTGTGTCCAAGAGAGTTTGAGAGTTTAGTGTTAGTCCCAGAGTGTCCTGAATATCTGTCTGAATGTCCGAATCCGAAAGCCCAAACTACCCACTCTCTTCCCTTTGTCCTAACTTTTAAAGGGAAAGATTCTCTGTACGTCATTAGTTGATAAGGCCAATAGGAAACTGTAGGTGTGTCTACGTTATCTAGTATTATCTAGTTTTTGGTCAATAGAGGGCGCAATTGCCTCATCAAACTTTTGTGTCCTCGAAAGAGTTAACTTATTTTGATGACGATTTTGACATAATTTGGCTTATCTAAAATAACTACCATAACTTAAATTTGCTGTCAGTTCAAAGCGTTGCCTCAGTCTTTGTGGCAACGACTTTGATCGTAATTTCTAGGATTGACATGTCTAAACTCAATTTCACCCCTTACTTAGAACGGGACCTTGTAAGATTTAGAAAGTAAAATTACTTAGTCTTCTCTATCACTAGTGTCTGTGTTTAAAATTATTTCTATTCCATTAACATTTAAACAGAGCATTCCAACCCCCTGCTTCATTGCTTATCACTTGGCTTGTTTACATAATGCATTCCTTAACTCAGGCATGTGGCTAGTTAAAGAAAGGAAAGACATTTTGTGTCTGTCTTGCCTGAAGATAGCAAAATGGAGTCCGCTTTGTTCTGAGTGACTCTCGCAATATACACTTTTAATTTCTATCTTAGCACAAAATGTCTGCCGATATAACTATCCTGACATAGCCTCCCTTAGTGATTATCATGGCAATGATTAATTTAGTCTATGAATAAGCACTATAGAAGTTACCAGACATATTGTGCACTCACATCATTTCTACTGACATGGGCCTGTGCGTGGAATCAATATTTTTGTACCTGTAAGAGCTTTGAACTTTACACTTAGTACAATCAACCATAATACCATTAGTAACATTGTAAATTGTTTTCATTTGAAAAAATTTTTCGGGAGTTACATGTGGTATGGCCAATAAAAAGCAAATCTCCATACGTTCTGGATCAATTAAGAGAGGTATAGCACTTCCCATCTCAAAGGCCAGATTTAATTGCATAGGTTCAATTGTCTCTCCATCCACACTGGTAAGCATCACACGAACAATATCCTTGGATACAAAATACAGAGGTATGCGTCCCCCCGCCAATTCGATCATTCCAGGTTTGCACTTCATCAAGAAAAGCAAGTGTGTGTAATAATATTGGGTCATGCAGAAATAGAAGTTCACGCTTAAATAAGTCATGATTTTGGTGCAATGAACTCCGAATGTAAATTTGTTGTAACAACTGTGTCTTGCACAATAGTTAACACGTCTTGGAGAAGTGTTCTTTGCTGGTTTATCACCTGATGAATATCGTTAATGTGTTGCTTTAGAGCATAGATTTCCATATCCAGCTTTTGGACAGTAATAGAATTGGCTGCAGACATTCCAGTTGCGACAACTGCACCGACAGTGGCACAAACTAATGCAACAATTATGGCGGTGAGGAAACTTTTGAGTTGGTTGCTCATTGAAATAGTACTGGATACAAATGGTTTCCGGGCACGGTCCTGTGCTCTTTGGAGGTGCATCTGGTACCAAGTCTTAAACTCAGGAAGTTGCATCGATGAAATGTTGTATGCCTTCTTGATGGAAATCTTGGGGTCCAAGCTGACGAACACACGTCAGGTCAGGATCCTCTTCTCTGTCAAGATGAACCCTGGTGTCTCTTGAATCAGGATGCCGGAGGATGGTCCTATCTCTGCGATCGGGTCGGTCCGTAGCTCTTGGCACAGGAGCAGTACGATCCAGAAACACGCGGTATGCAATATGTAGCTTTCGTTTAAAACCTAGAATTTTCCACATCTTAGCCATTACTTCGCTGGTAAAATGACTACCTCTGTCTGACTCAATTCTTTGAGGCAAACCGAACCTGGAAAAGACATGGCGCACACAGTACTCGTGTTCTCTTTACAAGGCAAACACTCTATCCACTTTGTGTACATACATGTAACGGTTAACATGTATTTGTTACCTCTTGAATATCTTGTTACAGGACCTATAAAGTCAATTTGAATATCGGACCAGGGTAATGACACCCCCCTCTTCTGAATTGGTGCATGATGGGTTGGACCATGGGGTTGATATTGCGGACAAATCAAGCATCCCTGACAGTATGTCTTAACAATAAGACACGCAATTAGTGATGTCCCGAACTGTTCGCCGCGAACGTTTCGCCACGGACTCATCATTGAGTAAACTTTGACCCTGTACCTCATAGTCAGCAGACACATTCCAGCCAATAAGCAGCAGACCCTCCCACCTCCTGGACAGCTCCCTAATAATGCAGCTTCACAATGGATGCTGTCCAGGAGGTGGGAGGGTCTGGGAGGGAGGGTCTGCTGCTGATTGGCTGGAATGTGTCTGCTGACTGTGAGGTACAGGGTCAAAGTTTACTCAATGATGAGTCCGCCGCGAACCGTTCGGGACATCACTACACGCAATATCTCATATGTGATCTTATTACCACGATGCCCAGATGTAGGTGCATCATGTGCGTGTTGGAGCATTAACCCTCGATATGCAGGTGGGACTACCCATTGTTGTATACCATGTTTAGAAGTTCTGACCAACAACCCATCCATGATACTAAATTCAACTTTATATCTCATCAAGATTTGTAAATCTGCATTATCTTTGCAATCCTCATCTGTGATGGGATTGGCAGTAGGGTCTTCTATATGTCTATAGAATATGCCTATGACGGGATCATTCTTTTGACTGGTAATCAGGTCCTCACTAGGAGCTTCTTGACTCCATTGCACGACATTTAAGTTGGCATTATCTCTAGCCTGTCATCTAGTTATGGCTTCAACATGAATTGAACCCATAAGGTCGGCAATGTTTAGGGTTTCACCCTTGATGGCTGCTTGTTTTGCCAGTGAATCGGCTAATTCCTTACCGTCCTTGTCAATACCTTCTATTTTAGAATGGCCTTTGGTTTTCTTCCAATATATGGTTAAACCATTTTCCTTAACCAGTTCATCGATTTTACAAAACAATTTCCCATGTTTAACAGGTTTGTTATTGCTTTTCAGCATTTGGTTACGTTTCCAGTTGGGCAGATATTCGACGAAACTGTTGCGAACATAGTTGGAATCAGTTATGATAACTAATTCTTTGATACCATATTCTATTGCTATTTGAATGGTCTTATATACTGCACAGAGTTTGGCTATCTGACTGCTTTTGGAACCAATATTGTATCCTATAGATACATTGGGATAATCACCTGTCCAGGCGATTCTGATACCTGTAACTAACTTCCCTTCAGCACCAGCGGCGTGGTGATATGAACAACCATCAATGTATACCCACGGTAGTGGTCGACAGTATTCCTCGTCATAAACTTTATAAGGGGATAGCAATTGCTCTTCTAGGAAGTCATCTCTGGTGTCATTATCATTCAGAGATGGAGCAGTATAGTCATGTAATTCTGCTAAACCTTGGGCAACTGGGTTTCTCTTATTGTGTTTATAACGGACTTCTAATGGCCATCCATGTAAGGATAGAGTCCATGCAGTAATCCGACTGTTAGAGAGATTACCGTCTGATTCTTTCACTCTGCAGATACTGTAGAGGTTGGTGAGCTGTTTCTACAATTATTTTCTCACCTTGGATATAGCTCCGAAAATGTTGTAGTGCCCAGACAGTCGACAATAACGCCTTCTCACACGTGTTGAATTTAACTTCAACAGGTGACAAAGTCTTGCTAGCATATGCAATAACTTTGTTTAAACTGTCCTTCTTCTGATACAGAACAGCACTTATGCTTAAATCGGTATATCCTGTCTCCAGATAGAAGGGTTTACCCCCTCTGGGTATGCTAAACAGGGTGCCTGAGTGAGCTTCCTCCTCAGTCCACTTACCGCTTGGTCCTGAGGCTCCACCCAGTTCAAGGTAGTTTCCTTTTTAAGCAGGTGTAATAGTGGTTTTGTTATTTCTGCATAGTTATCTATAAACTTACAGGAGTAGTTAGTCATACCATGGAACGATCTTAATTCCCTGATGTTTGAAGGTGTTTTAGCCTTAATTACGGCTTCAACCTTCTTCCTCTGGGGATTTAATCCTTCAGAAGTTACCTCACGTCAGAGGAAATTGACATGGGTGCGACACCATTGCGCCTTTTGTAAAGACAGTTTAATCCCTGCCTCTCTTAAATGAGTGAGAACATAGAAACATAGAATGTGACGGCAGATAAGAACCATTCGGCCCATCTAGTCTGCCCAGTTTTCTAAATACTTTCATTAGTCCCTAGCCTTATCTTATAGTTAGGATAGCCTTATGCCTATCCCACGCATGCTTAAACTCCTTTACTGTGTTAACCTTTTCAGCTGGAAGACTATTCCATGCATCCACTACACTCTCAGTAAAGTAATACTTCCTGATATTATTTTTAAACCTTTGTCCCTCTAATTTAAGACTATGTCCTCTTGTTGTGGTAGTTTTTCTTCTTTTAAATATAGTCTCCTCCGTTACTGTGTTGATTCCCTTTATATATTTAAATGTTTCTATCATATCCCCCCTGTCTTGTCTTTCTTTCCAAGCTATACATGTTAAGATCCTTTAACCTTTCCTGGTAGGTTTTATCCCGCAATCCATGCACCAGTTTAGTAGCCCTTCTCTGAACCCTCTCTAAGCCATCAATATCCTTCTTAAGATACGGTCTCCAGTACTGTGTACAATACTCCAAGTGAGGTCTCACCAGTGTTCTGTACAATGGCATGAGCACTTCCCTCTTTCTACTGCTAATACCTCTCCCTATACAACCAAGCATTCTGCTAGCATTTCCTGCTGCTCTATTACATTGTCTGCCTACCTTTAAGTCATCAGAAATAATCACCCCTAAATCCCTTTCCTCATATGTTGAGGTTAGGACTCTATCAAATATTCTGTACTCTGCCCTTGGGTTTTTACGTCCAACATGCATTATCTTGCACTTATCCACATTTGTCATTTGGCTTATCCCTCCTGGAACATCAACCCTGTTACATATCTTAGTATCATCAGCAAAAAGACATACCTTACCATCAAGACCTTCTGCAATATCACTAATAAAAATATTAAAGAGAATGGGTCCAAGTACAGATCCCTGAGGTACCCCACTGGTGACAAGTCCAAGCTTCGAATATATTCCATTAACTACAACCCTCTGTTGCCTGTCACTCAGCCACTGTCTTATCCATTCAACAATGTTGGAATACAAACTTAAAGATTGCAGTTTATTGATAAGCCTTCTATGTGCAACAGTGTCAAAAGCCTTACTGAAATCTAGGTAAGCAATGTCTACTGCACCACCCTGATCTATAATTTTAGTTACCCAATCAAAAAAATCAATAAGATTAGTTTGGCATGATCTCCCTGAAGTAAACCCATGTTGTCTCTGATCTTGAAATCCATGTGTTTTTAGATGATCATCAATCCTATCCTTTAACATGGTTTCCATCACTTTCCCCACTACTGAAGTAAGGCTTACTGGCCTATAGTTGCCTGACTCCTCCCTATTACCTTTCTTGTAAATGGGCACAACATTCGCTAACTTCGAATCTTCTGGGACTACTCCTGTTAATAATGATTGGTTAAATAAATCTGTTAATGGTTTTGCTAGTACACCACTAAGCTCTTTTAATAGCTTTGGGTGCATTCCATCAGGTCCCATTGACTTATTTGTCTTTACTTTTTACTGACTGTGCTATTTTCTCTTCTGTGTGTGATTTGGAAGCTCTTATAACTTGCTTAGCCTCTTTCTGCCTAATCTTATAGATCATTTGGTCTTCCTCACTCTGGGTTTTTTTATAATTCCTAAATGCTAACTTTTTGTTTTTAACTATTTTGGCCACATCTGTGGAGTACCACAGTGGTTTCTTGGATTTTTTGCTTTTACTGACAAGCCTAATGCAATTTTCTGTTGCCTTCAATAGTGCAACTTTTAAATAATCCCATTTCTCTTGGACTACATTTAAATTGCTCCAGTCTGATAATGACTCCTCTACCCATATTCTAATTTTAGAAAAGTCTGTTTTTCTAAAGTCTAAAACTTTTGTTTTTGTGTGGTGTGAATCAGTCACTGTTATATTAAACCACAGTGACTGATGATCACTGGATCCTAAACTTTCACCTACAGTAATATCTGATACCAAATCTCCATTTGTTAACACTAAATCTAGTATGGCCTCTTTACGAGTTGGCTCCTCAACAACTTGTTTTAGAGACAATCCCAGTAGGGCGTTTAGAATATGTGTGCTCCTGGCACAAGTAGCTAATTTTGTTTCCCAATTTACATCAGGAAGATTAAAGTCACCCATGATGATAACTTCCCCCTTCTGTAACTAGTAGATTATCTAACTCTTCAATTTGTCCTGGGTGCCTATAAATCACACCTAAACGAGTTACTGTGTGATTACCAAATTCTAACGTAACCCAAACGGACTCTATGTTCACCTCACTAAATTTTATTAGGCTAGATTTTATGTTATCCTTCACATACAAGGCCAACCCTTCCCCTTTTTTTGCCTTCCCTATCTTTCCTATATAAAGAGTACCCTGGTATTGCTATGTCCCAGTCATTTTTCTCATTATACCATGTCTTAGTAACAGCGACTAAATCTACACTAATAGTTGCTATTATTGCCACAAGTTCGTGGATCTTATTCCCTAAACTGCGAGCATTTGTAGACATGCCTCTAAGCTTCTAATTTTTTTTAACACACTTGCTACAGGCACCTTCTGTCCTTGATTTGGGGGACAATTGGATTGACGTTTTATCACCCTTTTGCCCCCCCATCCTAGTTTAAATACATCCTAGCAAAACCTCTGAACTGCTCACTGAGAACATTTGTTCCCTTTTGAAAAAGATGCAAACCATCTTTTTTGTACAGCTTATCTCCATTCCAAACAGAGCTACCATGAGAAATAAAGCCAAATCCTTGCTCCTGACACCATTCACCAAGCCACAAATTAAAGTCCCTAATACGCATCCGCCTGTCGTTCTGAGTGTTATGCACAGGCAGAACTTCAGAGAATGACAGTGTGGAAGCAACCTGCCGTATATCATTGGCAAAAACCCTAAAAACTTCCTTAACCTCTGAAACCTCATTGCAAGCCAAGTCATTTCTCCCTAGATGGACAAGTACATCCAATTCCCCTTACTGCTTTGCTTGCTTAACAATATTACAGATACGTCTCCTGTCTCTGTGAGCAGTAGCTCCGGGAAGACACCTCACAAGACCACCATTGTCCATCTCCACACCTCTTATAATGGAATCCCCCAACAACAACTGCTTTCTATTAGGCCTCACCATAGTCTCCAAGCTGGTCTCCACAACACCACTAGCCTCAGTGCCTCTCTCCACAACACCACTAGCCTCAGTGCCTCTCTCTACAACACCACTAGCCTCAGTGCCTCTCTCCACAACACCACTAGCCTCAGTGCCTCTCTCCACAACACCATTACACTCTGAAAGTGCAGAAAATGAATTATGAAGAGCAACAGACTGTGCAAAATGCCTTTTATCCACAACTCTAAGTCTACCAGATCCTACAGTAATCCATCTGCCATTCCTAGTATGTCTCTGCGGCAGTGGCTTTGCAGCAGTTCCAGTCTGAGTTTGTTCACCAGATAATTTACAAATCTCAGACTTCAAAAATACAATCTCCTGCTGCAAGAAAGAGAACTGTCTACAGATTAGACATCAACCAAACCTCCAAAAAGTGGAACGTGAAACAAATGCAAAGCAACTATTACACTGAACTAAGTCTGCCATTCCAATGAGGAGAATAATTTAAATCAAACAAATCTTAACTTTGTATTTATCCTCCTGAATACCTCAGATTACCTCCAGAATATCTCCAACTACACACTTGGAAACAGCACTTAGAAGTAGCAACCAAGCTATATTAGCCAAGCTAATGACAACAAGCCTTATATAACTCCTAAAATCACCACCCACTAGGAATGTTTAACACCTGGGTAGGCCTCTGCTTATTTGCAAACAATCGCTAATTTAAACAGCAATCAATAGCAAGTAACTGACTAATCAAATCAAATGCCTTATAATTACCAACAGGAATTCAAACCTTGTGCAATCAGTAACCTTTTCCTACAGATGAATCTTACCTGTAACAGTAGAAAAGAAAGCTCTTAGCACAACTCTTAGACACATGTCTAATCTCTATGATATGCTTATCAAAGGCAGTGCTTTTCAGCAAGACATCGTCAACATATGAAAATGTTCCTCTCTCGAGTGCGTCAGGCATAGCTTTATGCATGAACACAGCAAATTCATGACCAGAGTTTATGTAACCAAAGGGCATTCGGGTCCAGGTATACTGCTGCTTTCCAAATGTGAAGGCCAATTTGTATTGGTCTTCATCATGGACTGGTACAGTCCAATATCCCTGCGCACAGTCAATGGCAGTGGATATTTTGGATCCCTGCATTTGTACCAAACATTGGTCTATGTATGGCACTGGCCAACCAGACATATAGACACGTTTATTTAGCTGCCGTAAGTCAGCGCATAAAGGCCATTGTCCATTAGGTTTCAGAATCCCCAAGATCGGATTATTATACGAACTGTGCACTGGACCTATGATGCCCCTTTCCTTTAAATTCTGAATGATGTCTTGTAGACCGTCATATGACGCTAATGGGAGTCTATATTGTTTGATAAATACAGGTGGTAAATTTGGATCAGTTTGTATTCTGGCTACATGGAGGTTAGTTAACCCACAGTCGTAGGAATCTTTGGCAAAAATATCTTGGAATTCCATTAGATATTTGCTCTTCTAGCCTTTTTTGAAATCCTGGAACGATTTCAGGCTGGCCTATCTCATAAGCTTCTTCAAGCCTAGAAGTTAGGTCAGTTCGGTGTTGACTTACCTTTTCTCTTTGGTCATGATACTCTTGTGATTCCTGCTCATTGAGCGGATGTTCGAAGGTGATTGATGCTTCTTTGATTTTACACGAGCCTTCTTCGACGTTGAAGGGATATATAGATAGGATAGTGAATAATCCTTCTGGGGAGGAATGGAATATTTGATCGACAATTTCGTCCTCAGTTAAGTATTCATCAAGGATGAGGCCTATAATTTGGTTTTGGAAACCAAATGTATAGTACTCAGCATCCAATGCTCGACCTAATAATGTTCCCTTTGGTAAAGTAACACTATTGGGTGTAACATTGTTGACCATTATATAGGTGGGATTCGTACCAATACTTACCATTGGTATATGTGTTACCACCATCCCTAATTGTTGTATCCTGTTGGATAAACCGATTAGGGTGTCAGAGTTTTCACTTCAGATTTTAAAGTGGTAAGGTGCCAATTGCCATGTTCAACTTCAAGTGCCTCCTGTAGCTGGTTCCTGCTTCCCCAGCCTCTAGAGCCTGTATTTGACCAGGAGCCAGACTGCAGCCAGAGATCATCCTTATATCTGGTAAGTAGGAAATCCAATATTTTTATTCTTTAGTAATATTTATTACATAACTATTTTTACTTCACATTAAAAGGACACTATAGTTCCAGAACAAATACAGTTTAATGTAGTGGTTCTGGTGTCTATAGCCTGTTGCTGCAGGCTTTTAAAAGGTAAACACTGTCTATCTTTTCAGAGTAAAGACACTGTGTGCACTACTGGTGTTAAAGGATCACTTTAGTGTCAAGAAAACAAAGTGGTTTACTGACACTATAGTGCCCTGAGGGTGCCCCCACCCTCAGGGTCCCCCTCCCGTGACGCTGAAAGGAGTTAAAACCCCTTCAGCAGCTTACCTTATTAAGCGCCTCTCCTCCCCCTCAAGTGCAGCACGCGCATTCAAATTGCCTCCAGCATTGCAGATGCGCCTCTAGTAAGGCTGTCCGGAAGATTTAACCCAAAATGTAATCATTGAGATGAAGTAGACTGGGTGACTATAGTGTCCCTTTAAGCGTCTCCACGCCCTGCATGGAGGAGCTTAAAGGGACACTCCAGGCACCCAGACCACTTGTGCCAACTCCCACTACCCTTGACCCTGCAAGTGTAATTGCAGTTTTCATAACCTTGCAGGGTTAAGTCCATGTTCTTATAACATGAAAAGTGTGTTATACAACTCTGTGAGGGCCTCCAGCGTCGCCGAAATCCCTATGGTGAGGTTATATGCGCATGCGTGGCCATTGCCGTTCATGCGCATTAGGTCTCCCCCACTGGCTGACGTTGGCGAGGGAGGAGAGTAGGCAGAGTCTGCCCCTCGGCGCTGGACTCCGGTCAGCAACTTGGGGTGGCAGGGAGAGGGGTACTACAGGGTCCTGCAGTGCCAGGAAAACTAATATGTTTTCCTGGCACTGGAGAGTCCCTTTAACGTTCCCATATAGATGCATTGATTCATTGCATCTGTATGAGGAGATGCTTTTTGGTGCAGTGTTTTGCTGCACAGGCACAATAGCCTCCCAATGCAAAGGTTAATGATCTGTGTGGGGGAAAAACGTAATATCGCTTTATGACCACACACAGAGGTTGGGGGGGGGGGGTGCTCTAATGTAACAGGATACAGGTGTATAGTGTTCCTGACGATATAGTGTTCCTTTAAGCTGCTCTCCACCTCCACTACATCAACCACCGTGCCCACTCTTGCGTAATGCAGAGATCTTCTGGCTTTTGGCTGATGTAGTGAAGGTAGGGCCATGTAGGGTAAGAAGTCAAACTGCTCTAATACGGTTTGACTACTTACACGGGGGGCGATGTCATGTCAGACCACTATGCTATGTAGTGGTAATGGTTCATAAAAAATGTCTCTTTAATGAAATGTACAATTTGAACTATGTTTTATTAGGTTAATTTCTAAAAGTGTGAATTTTTGGGAATCAAAGTGAATGTCACAGCAGCCAAATGGAGGTGGGGTGGGGGAATGGGGATATTGGGGAACTGTAACATAGTGATGGATATCGCCATATGGTGTAACTGAATCCCAATTTTTTTTTTTTTTGCTAGTAGTGGTGATTTTAAGTAGCTTCATAAAATTTAAAACTGGATTTATTTTGTGCACTGTTCCCTAATCTGTATTTTGAGGATAAAACATGGTCACTTCAGTAGCATGCAAACAAGGGGCGACAGGAAAAGTTCAGAGGGGGTACACAGAGTAACTACCCATTACATTTTTTTGCATGGACCCAGATAGAAGATTGAATTACTTTGTAATGTGACTGACCATGTATGACTGTAGGTGAATGTTTGTGACTGTGTGTAATTGTGTAATTATGTTGTGACGCTGTATGATTGTGTGTCTGTGCATGGAGGGTGCTAGCTCTCACTTGCCCTCTCCATTTTTAATTCTTCATGTTTACATCAACTGCTCTCATACATACACATATATTTTTGCGTCTTTCAGACTCCCACACGTGCGCACAGATGTACAGTAGGTTTCTAAATGATTTTCAGGTATTATTGTGGTTTAATGATCATCAAAGAGAATATTAATTGAATATTAATAATTTTTGATGTACATTTATTCTACAATAGTTATTTTGATAATTGAACAAGATGTCTGCACCACAAAAGAAATTGTCTGGTGCTGCTTTCCAAAAGAAAAGAAGGCTCCAAGAAGAAGACACTTCTAAGATGGCTGGATCATTAAATAGGTTCTTTAAACCTGATCCAGTACTGAAAGCTGTAAGCGAGACTAAAGAGAATTGTGAAGCTGTAGATGTCGAACCACACCCTTCTACTTCAACTACTACTGTGGGCGAACATTCTTTGGGCATAGAAAGTGATACAAACACTGAGGAAGAGAGTTTACCGAAATCATCATCATCATCAGAAGATGAAAATGGAAAAAGCACGCTGGTAGACCTCTTTGATCCAGCTGACTGGCCTGAAATGCTTACTAGCTCACTAAAAGAAACCATCTTTCTGAAAGGTCCAGCAAAGCCAAAAGAGCACTTTGCATTTCCTAAAGATGCATCCAAGAGACGGTTTACATCAACCCACTATAGACGGCGCCTTGGAAATGGTGAAGTGCATGTTAGAAAGTGGCTTAGTTATTCAACTAGACTGGACAAAATATTTAGCTTTTGTTGTAAACTCTTTACAACTATGAAAATGAGCCTGACAACGGGAGGCTACAATGATTGGAAAAATTTGTCCCAGTGTCTGGCTACACATGAAGTGTCTCCATCTCACCTCACTGCTATGGGAAACTGCTATGGGAAACTGGACAGAACTGTTAACAAGGCTTGGGTCTGGAAGTACTATTGACCATTCATACCAAAGATTATTGGCAACTGAAACACAGCACTGGCAGAATGTTCTTCAGCGGCTTGTAGCCATTGTTCAATATCTTGGGAAGCAGTGCTTGGCCTTCAAGGGCAGCAGTGACACGCTGTACTCTGAAAATAATGGAAATTACTTGAAACTTGTCGAAATGATGGCAACATGTGATAGTGTGATGCAAAGCCACTTGAAAAAGATACAGAATTCAGAAATTTATCAGCATTATTTAGGAAAAGACATCCAAAATGAACTAATTGGTTTAATTTCAAAAGAAATACGGAAACGCATTCTACGGTTGCTTAAGGATGCCAAGTACTATTCCATTATACTAGACTGCACCCCTGACATCACTCTTGTTGAACAGATGACTATGGTTTTCAGGTTTGTATCTGTTAAGCAAGGAGACTCGCCAACTGCAAATCCTGAAATACACATTGAGGAAAGATTTCTTGGTTTCCTGCCAGTTCACAACTCATCTGGAGAAGGATTAACAGAGGCAATTTTGAATGAGCTTGAAATGCTGAAGATATCACTCAGTGATATGAAAGGTAAATTTTTATTTTGCCTAGGGCGGCATAAATCCTTGCACCGGCCCTGATGACATCATTGCCGATGTAAACCTGATAGTGAGATTCGTTTATCACTAGGAATAAATGTTTAACTGTCTTATTTCCGATGGAAATAGATAGTAAACATTTTGCTATCACATTGTGACTCTCTGATTCGCCATCCAGGTTCTGGATCCACCTGTCATGTGGGGAAGCGTACCTGATCATTTTAGGATTAGCGATCTGCTTTAACAGACTTCTGTTAATATTGCTGTTCTCACTCTAAGTCCAGCTTTGCATTCCTACTTCTTCCTAAGTCATTTATTTGAATAGGAAAGAATAAGTTGTTATTAACCCTTTCAATTCTGGCAAGGAATTGAGCATGACCTGCCAGATCTACAGATTCAACATAGTCCCTGTGGAGAGAAATGGTTAAAACATCACCTTCCAGAGAGACATTCTTACGGAATGCTCATCTACAGGTGCGATTGCATCATTCACCTGCAGGATAGTCACATCAGGTGACTGACTATTCCTAAAATGTACCTCAATCGAGTCAGGTCTTTCTTCTATCACATGGCAATTATGATCAGATTGAACATGTGATTTCTCATAGGTTATAGGAACTTTAGCTTGTGACCATACAATTCCATTTACACCGTCAATAATTGTGTTAAATATTCTGAGTATGTCTATACCCAGAATCAGTCGGTCATAGGGGAGATCTACCACTATCACCGGATGTCTAAAGGTTTTGTTACCTATTTTAAATTTTAACCAGGTATTGTTTTCCATATGTTACCTGTCACAGCAGTAGTTTCTACCTGTACTGAGGAATGCTCAGTCTTACCCACAGGCTCATCCTTCTTAGGAATATTTTGAACTGTCAAGCGGGAACTAGTGGTCGGCGTCTCATCAGTTAACACTTTCAGGTCTGGGTCCTGGAAACTAGTGGCTGCTGGGGCTATTTTAGCCTTTGGCTGAAATGAAAAAGCAGAGCACCTCCTTCACCTGGAAGTGAAGTTACGGTGTAGGCAATAGGTTTCCTAACACAACTATTGTTTGTTTGACTATTAGTACCTGGAAAGGAAACAGGGTTAGGTATTACATCTACTGACAACCTAGCCTGTTTAGTCACAGTGGCTATTATTGCTGCGGCACCTGTTGTTGTTGCTGCAGTTGCACAGGTGGCTCTGCAATTGGAGCTGTCCCTAAAAAAGGATTTCTGGCAAAGACTTGATTAATCTTTGTCATTTCCTCCATTAGTTTGCCCATCTGGTCAGTCAATTGACCAACCTGACGACGCAAATTATTTCCCCCATTGCCGTTTTGTCTTTGCCCATTAGAATTTGGCTGGGATAGCTGAGACTGTTGGGAGTTACTGGAAGCAGATTGTTTTTTTCTGTTTCCATATCTCCTATTTCCCTGAGGATTCCTTCTCCATTGGGAATTGCCTTGGTTCTTATTAACCCAGGGGCGTTTCTTCCCATTGGCATTGGGTTTTTCAGAGTTATTATCAGAGGAATTTACAGAATTTCTTCCGGCGTTTTCCTGTTTCTGAGGTTTTGGTGTTTTCAAAACCTCAGAATAGGTCCTCTTTTTCTGTTGGGTTTCTAAACCTAACTGAATTTTAGTCTCTGACACCATTTTATCACCAGGTTTCTTAACCATTGGCTGATTTTTCATCAGGTGCATGGTGTATAGTTTACAATTTCATGCACTGACTGACTAGCCATTCTAATGGTAACTTACAATCATAATCTCTTGCGAGATTCATTTGTATGTTTACCGGCATGGTATGAAAATACAGATCTTTGAAGTCTGTACTTTCATACCTGGGTTTCCTTTGGGCCACGGAATATGCATTTTTAAGAATTATTAAAAATTCTCTGGGGCTTTGATCTGGACGGCACTTTAAGTTATAAAGTGCTTTCTTAGCAGAAGCAATGGTTTTATACTTACCATATTCCATGATTATTTCATATTTCATCTAGGACCAGGATATTAGCTGTATAGCTTGAAGACTTTCTAGATAAACACGGCACATTGAATCAAAGGTCCACGTAATGAACCATTTCATTTGGATGTCATCATACATGCCCAATGAATTCATGGCTCTTTCATAAATTTCCAGATGTTCAGATATGTTTCCTGAACCTCTAGAAAATTGTGGGACTGTCTCTTTGAGGAATTTAAAAACCTTTGATGTTTCATAAACAGGCATATTTGATTTATTAATCCTGTTTCTATTCTCCCTGCGTTTAGGTCTATGCGATCTGGCTGCTGAAGAGGAATTAGATCTGTACAATAGTGCAGATGGCATATCAGTCACATGGCCTTCAGAGTGGACAGTGCAATCACTTTCACTCCCATCACTCTGAGCTTCTCGTTCACTGTTACAATTCTGATCAGCATCAGAGTTCTGCCAGTGTACAGAACCATGTCTGTTTTCATTCCTACCACCTTGAACTGGACTCTCCCTCTCAAGCTTGGCCAAGACAGTCTTTTCAAACTGTTCTGCCCAAGATTGCCAGGTTTGTTTGGCAATGTCATGAGATGGGAAATCTTGTTCCACAGGTGTTTTCTCTGAATTACTCACATCTTTTCTTTGAGACTGTTTTATGAAAACCTGGTTTGGTGTGGGAAAATCATAATAAGGAGGGGATTTACAGATAGTCTTTTCTTCTTGCATTTTTGTGCAACTTTTTGGCACACAATGATGACTAACCTCACTGTCTGATTTCTGACTCTCCTTTTCATATTCGTCCAATTGCTTTTTAAGCTGATTTATTTCCTGTGCATATTTATCCGTCAAAGGTTTCAGTTCTTTTTCATGATCAGCCTGACGGGTTTCATGCTCAGCAAGTAAATCTTGGTATTTCCCATTTTGAATGCCCAGATTGTCACTGTATGTGTCCAATCTGGTATTCGGTGCCTTGTTTTCATCTAACGCCTTCAGAAGTCCTGTCATAAAGAAAGGCCAAGAGTGTATGATGAACGCCATTTTTTTTTCCAAGTTAGTTTGTCCACCAATTGCTTTAAGATGTGCTATTATGGGTGAATCAATTAGAATGTTTTTTTTTAACTTCCCATTCTATACCCTTCAACCAATCTTTATAGCATAAATCATTCTTCATATGTTTATGGATATGAATTAGAGTATTTTTTCTTAGGTCTTCAATGATTTCAGCATTGTCTGATACAGATGGATCGCTGGCCATATTTCTATACACTGATTTAATCTCAATACAAAACTCTTTTCTATATCAAGATTAATACTGCATGAATTACACCAATAGCAACGCCTCAGAATTATTGTATGGAATATAATTTCAACTTAATGATCTCAGCAGCGCCTCCAATTTGTGGGAATATTTATGGGATGATAATCTTATACAGTTGAGAATTGCTCACTATTTCAATTCTCTTAGAGCTTAGAGATCGTTATCATGTAAGTGAAATGTATTCCATACAAATAAAATCACAATTTGTTATAAAAAGAGATATAATTTATTGTGACAAATAAAATAATAATATTAGGCAGCATGCATGATAATAATCAGTGAATATTTAGTATAACGTCGTATACAATGGCAATGGCTAAACACAGTACAAAGCTACAGCATCAACTATCAAGACTTACAAGATTTATGAGGGTACTTCACAGACACAGAAATCAAAACTTCACACAGCACAGCGAAAAAGCTATAAAATCTTGGCTCACAGTCAGATCAACTGAGTAACCCTTTCAATGCTGGCTAGATCCTCGTAGGCATATAATATCCTATTCTCATGTAATTTTCAATTAAAATGACATTCAAACCAGCTCATTAATCATTTCCTGGAACCATCCAAAAGAGTCAAATCTACATATTCTATAAGTCGAATTTTAATTTGCCTAAAAAGATATCTTATCTTATTTCAGAGCAAATCAAAACACATGGATAAAAACAGCGGTATGCTAACAACAATGCGTATCTGACTCCATCTGCAGAATGTAGTGTTATAACTACATATTCTTTATTTAATTAAGATTCCTCAATTATGGGATCTGATCGTGATTTATCCATGCATGTATCCTGCTATTTATAGATTTTAATTAATTTAGATTAATTAAATAAAACCAGCATAATTACCAGTTATGATGTAGATGTTCTCATCAGATGAGTAGGTAGTCCCAGGAACTTGAACGCGAGTATGATTGGTTGTATGGAGGTGTGTAAGTAATAGAGAAAAGTGATGTTGGTTAGAAAGTAATAGTAAAATTCTAAGTGTCAAGGAGTGTTTCTTGAGTTGTGTCCAAGAGAGTTTGAGAGTTTAGTGTTAGTCCCAGAGTGTCCTGAATATCTGTTTGAATGTCCGAATCTGAAAGCCCAAACTACCCTCTCTCTTCCCTCTGTCCTAACTTTTAAAGGGAAAGATTCTCTGTACGTCATTAGTTGATAAGGCCAATAGGAAAAATTGCCTCATCAAACTTGTGTCCTTGAAAGAGTTAATTTATTTTGATGACGATTTTGACGTAATTTGGCTTATCTAAAATGACTACCATAACTTAAATTTGCTGTCAGTTCAAATTTGGCTTATCTAAAATGACTACCATAACTTAAATTTGCTGTCAGTTCAAAGCGTTTGCCTCAGTCTTTGTGGCAACGACTTTGATCGTAACTTCTAGGATTGACATGTCTAAACTCAATTTCACCCCTTACTTACAATGGGACCTTGTAAGATTTAGAAAGTAACATTAATTACTTAGTCTTCTCTGTCACTAGTGTCTGTGTTTAAAATTATTTCTATTCCATTAACATTTAAACAGAGCATTCCATCCCCCTGCTTCATTGCTTAACACTTGGCTTGTTTACATAATGCATTCCTTAGCTCAGGCTAGTGGCTACTTACATAGAAACATAGAATGTGACGGCAGATAAGAACCATTCGGCCCATCTAGTCTGCCCAATTTTCTAAATACTTTCATTACTCCCTAGTCTTATCTTATAGTTAGGATAGCCTTATGCCTATCCCACGCATGCTTAAACTCCTTTACTGTGTTAACCTCTACCACTTCAGCTGGAAGGCTATTCCATGCATCCACTACCCTCTCAGTAAAGTAATACTTCCTGATATTATTTTTAAACCTTTGTCCCTCTAATTTAAGACTATGTCCTCTTGTTGTGGTAGTTTTTCTTCTTTTAAATATAGTCTCCTCCTTTACTGTGTTGATTCCCTTTATATATTTAAATGTTTCTATCATATCCCCCCTGTCTCGTCTTTCCTCCAAGCTATACATGTTAAGATCCTTTAACCTTTCCTGGTAAGTTTTATCCCGCAATCCATGAACCAGTTTAGTAGCCCTTCTCTGAACCCTCTCTAAGGTATCAATATCCTTCTGAAGATACGGTCTCCAGTACTGTGTACAATACTCCAAGTGAGGTCTCACCAGTGTTCTGTACAATGGCATGAGCACTTCCCTCTTTCTACTGCTAATACCTCTCCCTATACTAGCATTCTGCTAGCATTTCCTGCTGCTCTATTACATTGTCTGCCTACCTTTAAGTCATCAGAAATAATCACCCCTAAATCCCTTTCCTCATATGTTGAGGTTAGGACTCTATCAAAATACTTACAGAAAGGAAAGAAATTTTGTGTCTGTCTTGCCCGAAGATAGCAAAATGGAGTCTGCTTTGTTCTGAGTGACTCTGGCAATATACACTTTTAATTTCTATCTTAGCACAAAATGTCTGCCGATATAAATATCCTGACAAACTGCAGATTGACATTGCATATTGCTGCCTAATTTGTTGTCTATAACAGTTCCCAAATCCTTCTTGTGTGTGGTTATCCCTAATTCACTACCATTTAAGGTGTAAGTTGCTTGAGCATTCTTGACCCCGGAGTGCATAATTTTGCATTTCTCAATGTTAAATTTAATCTGCCATTTTAGTGCCCAATCCCCCAATCTATCCAAATCCCTCTGCAGCAAAGCAATATCCTGCTCACATTTTTTTACTTTACAAAGTTTTGTGTCATCTGCAAACATCGAAACATGGCTTTCAATGCCGATTTCAAGATCATTTGTAAATATGTTAAAAAGAAATAGTCCCAAAACAGAAACTTGAGGGACACCGCTTACCACTTTTGTCCAGCCTGAAAATGTACCATTAATGACAACTCGTTGTACTCTATCCTTACTCTATCCTTAAGCCAATAATCATCTAGACCAATTTCTTTTAGTCTTTGAACTTTTACACTATGTTCCTGTCCCACTTTGTAGTATTTTAGCAGGCTACATATTTCAACAACCCCATAAAGGCATACCATTTCTTAAAGAAGACATGTCAGAGTATTTCAAAAGGCATATTTTTATTACAACAATACCCCCGTATGTACCTTTGCCAGGTATATGTGGATGTTGAAGGGACACATTTGAGACGCAGCTCTATCCGGAGATGTTCCATTTTGGTGTAGTTTAGCTGACAAACACATGCTATTTATTAAAGAATACACCCCAGGGTAATTCAAAAGGCATATTATGAACCTTGGGATAATTTTTTTGCTAGTTTGTTCCAGGTGTAGTGGTAATGAGCATTTTTTAATGTATTTTTCTAAACTTTTTTAAACCTTTTTTTTTTTACTTATTAAATTTTTTTTAGTTTTTAAAACTAACTTTTTTACACTTGTATTATTTTTACCGTTAACCCCTAACTAGCAGTAAGCAGCATTAAGAGTACATTCCCCTATTCCCATAACTCCCACCCACAACAGCTAGCAAAATATATCATTTTAAAATATTTAAATTATTTAATGAAATGAATTGAACCCCTGAGGGCAAAAAAAAAATAAAAGTTAACCCTCAGGGATAAAAAGTAAAAATAAAATCAGATCACAGTGTAATACTGTGATCTGTATTTTGATCACTGTAGGCAGTGATTAACTGGCAGGGAAGGGGTTAATTTTTTATTAAGACTGGGTAAAGTGGGGGGATTTTTAAAAACATTTTTTAAATGTTATTAAAACTTTTTTTTACGTTTAACTTTTTAAAGCTTTTAAAAAAAATGTTTTTTTTTATAATGTTAACCCCTTATTTTTAATTTCCCATAGCTCCCACCCACCCCAGCTAGCTAAATACATAATTTTAAAATATTTTAATTAATTAATACATTACATTTAGCCCTTGAGGGTTAAAAAAAAAAAAAAAAGTTAATCCTCAGGGGTTAAAAATAAATAAAAAAAATCAGATCACAGTAAAATACCCTGATCTGTATTTTGATCACTGTAGTCAGTGATCAAATGGCAGTGAAGGGATTAATTTTTATTAGATATAGGTAAAGGGGGGTGGGGTGGGATTTAGCTTAAACTTAATTTTTTTTTACAGGGTGAAGAGGATCAACACTGACCGCGGAAGCGCAGGGAGGTGGACCAGAAGTCCCTGCAGCACATGCGCTCGCTCTGACAGCTGCAGAGACAGCACGATCTGTGATTAACTTTAGTAAATGACGGTAGTCACCCAATGAAGTCAGTTTTCCGTCATGTGTCCTTAATGCAAGGACAAGCATGACGGAAAATTTTCATCTAGTGTCGGGAAGGGGGTTAATGAAATGCTTTAATTTTTAATTTTTTTGCCATTATTTTAGGTTTGGGAGACTGCCGATCCAGTCATGTGATCCGCAACGTCTTTGTGAACACATGGTCCAGAAGAGCTACATTTGGTTGCTGGAACATTGCGGAAGATAACTATTAATCGCAAAGGTCGGATGGCTACAATATGCAGGGCTCCCTATGCCGACCTACGGCGTTAAAGCCCACATTTAGCAGGATGGCACAGTATGCCTGCTGGCCTTAATGGGTTTAAAAATTTTTTTTTAAAAAATCATGTTTAGTGAATAAACACTTTTTCCTATTTAACCAGTGAACTATATATTGGCTGTTTAGAGCAGCGGTAATACCAGGTTCAAATCCTGATCAGACAATCTTACCAGTAAGTGTTCTTGGGCAAGACAACTCATATATCATAACTACCTACCTTAAATTCTAATGGATTGTAAGCTCATTTGAGCAGGTAATTCTTCACCGCTAATCCCCTTTCTATAATTGTAAAACAGTGCGGAACATGTTGGTGCTATATAAATTCCAATAATAATAAATTAAACTGTAAACAAATGTGTCAAATGTAGGTTATAGTCTTCACATATTAAAAATATTTATTATGCATTAGAAGCAAATTTAGTTTTCAAATCACTGTTTAACAAATGTACCTTGGGTAACTCTGTTCTCATTTGCCAACATCAAATTCCTGTTTATATTTGGTTTATTTCTAGGAATATTTTAAGCCAGTCAATGTAGTTTACATTGTATTTTATTAATTGTGTTTAATTCAACAAATGAAAAATGCATACTAAAGTCCCAGCAAATAACATGATTTTGTCCCCTCATGCCAGGAAATAGACAACAATGCCACTGTCATGTGTCAGAATCATGCTATACAGAATTTCCAAATAAGCAAACAAGCACAGAAATTGACATAAGTTATTGTATCTTGAACACCGTCTTCCAGCAGCAATTCTCACACTTAACAATATCTACAACATATTTGAAAGGGGCCAACAATTAGAAAATGGCAATCTTAGTTGATGATAATTTGTTAATGGCTAGTATAACATTTGCAAAGTTGCACAGGCGCAAGATGTGCTTTTCAATATATGGATGTATTGATGTGACATGTCTTGTGCAGTTGTTTGTGTGTTATTTTCATACCAACCAATTGTAGATGTTCACAGAATAACGGCATTTGTTGGAATTTTAATATAGATCGGTGCAAGCCTCCATCAATGGCAATCACCATCAACCACCCTTCTCTCCCTCCCTTGTGCACCATCATTAGCCACATATATCCCTCCTTTAAATCTCTTTAGTTTTGAGAAACAGGAGAGGGGAAATTATAGCCCAATTTTCTAAATACTTTTGATAGTCCCTGGTCTTATCTGATATCTAGTATAGCCTTATGTCTATCCCATGCATGCCTGTGTGAACCTCTGTTAACCTCTACCACTTCAGCTGAAAGGATATCCCATGTCTCCCAGTAAAGTAATATTTTCTGATATTACTTTTAAACCTTTGGCCCTCTAATTTAAGACTATGTCCTCTTGTTGTGGTAGTGTTTCTTAATTTAAATATACTCCTCTCCTTTACTGTGTTGATTCCCTTTATGTATTTAAATTTTTCCCATCTGTCTCCTCTTTTCTTCATACATATGTGTTAAGATACTTTAATCTTTCCTGGTAAGTTTTACCCTGCAATTAACCAGTTTAGT